GGGCCGCGCGAGCCTGGTGAAAATCCCAAGGTCTGTCGGGCCCCGTGGCCTTGAGGAAGGGAGGTGGCTGAGAAAGGACAGCGTGGCACTGGGCCGAACTGGAAACCTCCAGGGTGCCCACGAAGCCGGCGCGGGGCTGATGACAGGGCGACTGGGGGTCCCACTGGAGCCGGATGGCCTGGCCAAGGCCTTCCGAAACAAGACAACAATCTATCAGGCGTGCGCCTCGTGGGACCTCACCACTGGGATCGCAAAACCTCCCTTGAAGGTACGTATGCATGCCGTTCTCCGCAACCTCGTCGATCTCCATGTTCCAGTCGCCTGCAATGATGTACGGTTTGCCCTGGGTTCTGACATAGCCGGCTACTTCAGCCAACAATGTGACTTGTTCGTTTTGAACTCCAAGGCCCGTGACACAATAGAGCACGACAAAACGAATATCAATCCCCACCGTTCGTATGACTTGTCTGGCCCATTGAGTGTCACCTGCAGTACGCCCTGATTGGACCGCCTGCTTGACCTCAGGGTGGAGTGGCCTGTGCCGAAGATGCTTGCGGACAAGTGCCCATACTCCAGCATGATAGCCTCCACGCGAGGTGCCACCTGCTTGCTGCGAAGCCGTGGCCCAACCCAATTTCTGCAACCGGTTGATGGCCTCCACGTGCTGTGGCCCGTGTAGGTGATGCTCCGCAGTCAAGATGAGGTCAGCATGCTGGAAAACAATATGTTTTGCTCATATAGTCCCATGCCTTCTGCCCCCACGAAGTCGTATTCGCGAAGTAAAACAGGAAACTCCTGTCGGGATCCCGTGGCAGAGCCAGTTCAACCCGTCTAGCTCGTCCTGAAGTCCATGTCAAAACATTTCCCGTTCCTCTCCCTGCTCCTGCTCCCCTCCCTGCTCGTTTTCCCCTCCCTGCTCGTCTTCCCCTCCCTTCTCCTGCTCCCCTTCCAAGGGCCTCAATGGTGGGCGGGGCCACGCCACTGGGCCCGAGATCCTCAGGGACGGCGCAAGGAGTGAGTGCAGGGGCGGCGCCCTCGTCGTCTGCGCCAGGGACGCCAGTGTTCGGCGCGAGGCTGCTAAAGGCACGCTCGCATGGCCTCAACAAGCTTGGCGTCCCCCTTGAGCTTTTCGCGAATGTTGACGCGAACGGGAGGAGCAGCAGCAGGATCCGCAGCACCAGGCCGGACAGCGGTGCCGACGCCATCGCTTGGCGCCGAGTCTGCGGAGGCCTGCCCGGCGGCGCCGCCTGGGGTAGCAAAAAACAGTGCCGTTCTCTTCGCCGACCAACCCCGCTTCTTGCCTTCCAGACGCGCCAGATGTTTCGAGTGCTCCTCCATAGCCTGCTTAGCCTTGTCGACCGCGCCCTGGAAGAGGCTGGCCAACGCTGTCTGGATCTCCGCCGCAGCGGCGTCCTTGCGTTTGCGGAGATCTTCTCTGTCGGACTCTTCAAGCTCGTATTGCGCAGCAACCGCCGAAGTGCCCATGAAGTCGTCGATGGTGAAGACCTTCGCCAAGTCGATGCGGCCATCGACGAGCTCGCGGGTGCTGATGCCCGTAGGAGGGGCGGGAGCCGCGGGTGCCTGCACGGCGCTCTGGGTCTGGATGGCGGCGAGCGTGTCCAAGACCTCCTGGTCGGCAGCGTCAAGCTCCCTCGCCGTGGCCGCGATGCTCGCAACCAGGCCGTCCATGCTCTCCCGCCAGCGCTCCAGCTTGGAGCACTGGCCGTGGAGCTTGGCCTCGAGGTCCGCCTGGCGCTGCTCCGCCTGCTGCCACTTGTCGCGCAGCGAAGGCTCCGCGGCAGGCGGCGGGGCGCGCACCGCAAGGAGTTGGTAGCGCCGTGCTCCTTCCGCGTCGCCTGCGGCCTCCGCCAGGGTGGCGAGTTGCTGGGCTTGCTCCGGTCTGATGGCCGGGAGCGGCCCAGGCGGGAGGGCGACCAAGTGCCCGTCGTTGCAGGCTGCGCGCCCTTACCGCCCCCCTTGTCGCCTGTGCCGCTCCACAACATGCCTCACTCCTCCCCCTGCTCCTCCTCCTCCTCCTCCTCCTCCTCCTCCTCCTCCTCCTCCTCCTCCTCCTCCTCCTCCTCCTCCTCTTCCTCACCCTCCTCCTCCTCCTCCTCCTCCTCCTCCTCGTCCTCTACCACCTCCTCCTCCTCCTCCTGCTCCCCCTCCTTCTCTACATCCTCTCCTCCTCCTCCTCCTCCTCCTCCTTCCTCCCTCTTCCTCCTCCTCCTCCTCCTCCCTCCTCCTCTTATTTTTATTATCCTTATTATTATTAGTAGTCTTCTTCGTCTTCTTATTAGTATTATTATTACTATTCTTAGTATCATTATTAGTCGTCTTCTTCGTCCTGTTATCAGTATTATGATTAGTGTTCGCATTATTATTATTATCATTATTGTTCGTCTCTTTTCTTCGTGCTAGTATTAGTATGTTTCGTATTGTTATTCGCATTAATATTCTTAATATTAATTTTACTAGTATCATCGTTATCCGTCGCAGAAGTATTATCATTATTATTATTCTTAGTCTTACATTATCATTATTAGTATTAGTATTAGTTTTCGTATTCGTGTTCGTATTATTATTATTCGTCTTATTATTCTTATTATTCTGATTATTCTTATTATCATTATCCTCCTCCTCCTCCTCCTCCTCCTCCTCCCCTCCCCCTCCTCCCGCTCCTCCTCCTCCTCCTCCTCCTCCTCCTCCTCCTCCTCCTCCTCCTCCTCCTCTTTCTCTACCTCCTCCTCCTCCTCCTCCTGCTCCTCCTCCTTCTCCTCCTCCTCCTCCTCCTCCTCCTCCATTCCTTAATAAGTTATCCCTGTCGCACCCCGAGGCATTTTGTTAAGGCGGGCCAGACGTTTCGCCTAAAACTTCCTCACCATGTATGACTCTGAAGCATAAACATTGGCAACAGCTTCACACATGGAGGGCGGGTGGTTTTCAGAATGCGACTCTCGCCTTAGCGCGGTGCTCATTCGTTGCAAAAATGCACAAAAGTTTCATGGATTAACAGCGGGTCGTTTTCAATATGTGGCTCAGCCTTAGCGCGGAGCACAATTGCTGCAAACAACTGCAAGAGTTTCACGGATTGAGGGCGGGTGGTTTTCAGAATGTAGCTCTCGCCGTGGAGCGGCGCAAAATGTTGCAAGAGCTTCACGGATTGAGGGCGGCTGGTTTTCAAAATGTAGCTCTCACCTCAGCGCGGCGCACATTCCTTGTAAACATTTGCAAGAGCTTCACGGATTGAGGGCGGGTGGTCTTCAAATCCAACACGTTGATTTCTGCAATACCAGATTTGCAAATACACGCCCCAGCGCCCAGCTGAGGGCCTATGGGCCGACGCCCAAATCTTTTCGATGCGTGGGTCCCGAGGGTTCTGGACGACCTCCCTCGGACCGGTTTCTCGTCCTCAGTCGTTGTTTGACGGTCCCAGGGCCAGTTGAGTCCATTGAGGGCCCCAGGGGGGTGCGAATGGCCAGAATCCGAACACCCAGAACTTCTTCGGAGCCTCGGATATGTGGGACGCTAGCTGGTTAGGCACGGAATTACCGAGACCGCTACGCCCTGGACCTCTCCCTGAGTGCAATCTGACTCAAATTTCGAAGCGAATCCAGCCGTGGTGACGATGGCCTCCCAGGAGGCCCAGAAAGAGGAAACATAGGGAAGGGCAACGGTATCGCTACTACCCTTTCCTCCTCCGATTGGTGGCCTGGGTCGGCACCGCTTCTTTCTTCTCCTCCTTATTATCAGTTTTCTTAGCTTATCATTATATTTGTCTTATTCTCATGATTTATATTATCAGCATTAGTCGTGTTATCATGATTGATAAAATACCACTACTAGATGTTTCGTATTGTTCTTCTTCTTATTATTACTATTAAGGTTACTAAGATTAGAATTAGAAGGATCATTGTTATTGCTATGTAATGTTCCTCTTCTTCTTCTTCTTCTGATCCTGCACGCGGAACTCCCCCAGGCGGGCCCGACACGCCGCCGTGCCGCCACGCGCCGCGCGCAGCCGAGCCTGCGCCGCCCCGCGCGCCTCCTCCGCGCGGCGCGCGCGCCCGCGCGCTGCGGCGAGGCGCTGGGCGCAGGGCGAGGAAGCCTGTAGGCAGCGCGAGCTCAACCTGCTACTCGAGGCGTCATATGGTCGAGGGTTTGCTCCCCCCCCCCCAATGCTACTAATGCCATCGGGCCCCCCCCCCGCGCGATGCCCCCCGCCCCCCTGTGGGCGTCGGCGTGGCGTGGTGGCTCCCCCCCCCCCTGTGGATGTCGTCTGGGTGTGGTGTGTTGCTGTGGGTGTGCGGGGTGACGCCATGGTCCTCCGGCGTGGGCGTGGCGTGGTGGCTCCCCCCCCCCCTGTGGACGTGGAGTGGGTGTGGTGTGTTGCTGTGGGTGTGTGCGAGGTAACGCCATGGTCCTCCTCCCCCCCTCCCTCCCCCTCTGTGGGTGCGGTGTGGGTCCGGAGTGTCGCTGGGATTGGCGTCATGTTGACAGCTCCGGTGCTCGACGTCGTCGCCGCCGCCGCTGGTGGTGCCGTCGACGTCGTCGTCGTTGTCGTCGTCGTTGTCGTCGTCGTTGTTGTCGGTGTCGTCGTCGTCGTCGTCGTCGTCGTCGTCGTCGTCGTCGTCGTCGTCGTCGTCGTCGTCGTCGTCGTCGTCGTCGTCGTCATTGCCGTCGTCGTCGTCGTCCTCCTCCTCCTCCTCCTCCTCCTCTTCCTCCTCCTCCTCCCCCCATCCCATCTGGGGGGGGGGGGGCCGAGGACCCTGGGACCCATCCCATCTGGGGGGGGGGGGGCGAGGACCCTGAGCCCGCGATCAGATGTACGTTTTCACTGTTCCCCGACCCGCCCCCCCACTGGGAATGGAGGGCAAATTGGGGCCTTCGGGTTGGCCTTGGGGTGGTGTGGTTAGTGGTGCGCCCACTCCGAATCGCACCAAGGCGCCCAAAAGGCCCCCGCCCCGCAGCAGCTCTGAGAACACCCCGAGGGCCTCGGCGTCGGCCGACCGAAGAGCGCCGCCCGCGCGCGCCCGCGCCACCGCGGCCAGGGCCTGGTCGCGCTCGGCGAGCGCCGCCGCCGCGGCCTGCCTCTCCTTGGGAGGGGGGGAGCGCAACCAGACTCCCAGACCCAGAGGAGAAAAAAAAAAAAAAAAAGGTACCCATACCTCTGCCCTCCCCTCGCCTTCCCCTGCTCGGGCCTCCTGGGCCTCCGTCGTCGCCACCGCTGGATTCGCCTCGAAATCCTGGTCAGAACGCACCCCTGGAGAGGTCCCGGGGAGTAGCGGTATCGGCACCTTTGAAGGTCCCCACAGACCTCCATGGTTCGGGGTTGGACAGACCCCCCTTTAGTAAAACGTGGTTTAGTGAAAACGACCTGAAGCCCAAACCTGGCGGGCGCAAGCCTGGAAAATAGCGGCCGCGGCGCCCTCTCGAGAACCGAAAACGGACAATTCACTAATCGACGTGTCACTGTTGGGGGCTCTGTCCCCCCCCGATCCCCACAGATCTCCATGGTCTCGGGCGAGCGTTCCTAGACGCGGCGCCCCCCGAGGCCCCGACCCACGCAGGCCGCAGGCGGCACCTGGCGCAGCCACACCCACTGCAGACGCCGATGTCCGTCCGCCCCGATCCGGACCGATCCCTCGCCCGACCCGATGCGACTTAGGCGGGCGGCCGTCGAGACGCCGAGAGCCTGCCGTGGGTCGTCGTCGTCGTCGTCGCCGTCGTCGTCGTCGTCGTCGTCGTCGCCGTCGCCGTCGCCGTCGTCGCCATCGCCGTCGTCGTCGTCGTCGCCGTCGTCGTCGTCGTCGTCGTCGTCGTCGTCGTCGTCGGTGACCCCCATGGGGGGTGAAGCACAGGGCCCCAAAGGGGCCCTTCAGGGCCCCCTGTGGGGCCCCTGCTGGCTTCGCCCCCCGTGTGGGCCAACCCCCATTCGCCCCCGCCCGATCGTCTCCAGCAGGGCCCGACCGTCCCCGCAGTCCTGCGGGCCTGCCGCGGCAAGCTGCGAGGACAGGAGACCTGCCCCGAGATACGGTCGACCCGTATCAGAAGGGTGCGCGGTGAGGATGCAGGGGCCTTGGAAGGCCGTTCCGACACTTGGCGTGCGGGGCGCGGCCAGCGAAAGCGGCCAGAGATGGACCGAGGAGGCAAGGAAGCAATGGCAGCATTGGGAAGGTTGCCCATCCTTGCAACGCGGGTTGACTGTAACGAGACTTGCTCTCATAACATGAAGCAGTCGTAGTACAACAAGACCGCCTCAGCCAGAAAGGTTCGAAGACAATCTCCCTTACCAACCAACAAGAGGCTAATTATGGGTAGACCATGACTTGCTGGCCCTATGGGCAAGTCAAGACACTTCATCTCGGCCTGAACGTGTCTAGAGACGCAACGCGGACGTTCTGCGCCGTTTGGGGCCCCTGGGGGGCCTCGCCGGGCCCCCGGGGCCGCGAAGAACGACGCATCATGAAGAGCCAACCCCGGGTACAAGGTCTACACCTCCACGAACCCCGCCCATTGAGGAACTCGAGGGCATCGGACGTCTGGGTGGGGGACAGGTCCAGGCAGGGAAGCACGGAGCCGGCATCGGCGATATACACACACACACACACACACACACACACGCACACACGCACACAAGCACACAAGCACACACACACACACACGTGTAGCCGATGGGTCGACGAGAGGCCGCCGATGGCGGAGCTGCACACTCATGGGCTGGGTGGGCGGTTGGACCCCCGATCGTCGTTCGGTCGGGCATGTCCTCCTGCAAACGGGTTTTGGAAGGAGAATGGAACATACATAGAGGGAGTTTGAAAAAACAATGGTTTTTGTTTAACAATGATTTTTGACTTTTAGGCTGTCGCATATCATTTGCGCGATGACGGCAGGCGGTGGAACAAAACAAGGGTTTGTTTAATATGGTTTTAGAGTAGGTCCGCGAGGCTGAGCCCGGGCATGCCGACCTAGTTTTTTGAACTTCCTGTAGTTGAGACATCTGCAAAATTCGCCAGCACAACGGGCCAGAGGCGTGCTAAGATCCCCGGTAACTGGTTAACAATGTTTCTAATTCGCGCGCGCGGGGCGGCCCCTGGGGGTCCCCGGGCGAAAAATACCCCGGGCAAGTCCCGGGAGGGTCCCGGGAGGGTCGAGTCAGAGATGCCGAACCGGGCAATTTTTCGACACCCCTCACGAGGATCGTGGCCTCTGATCGAGGGGGGAGCCGCAATCGACTGCCCCCCCCTCTCCCGCCCCAAGGGGCCCCCAAGAGCCCCCCAAGAAGCCCTGGGGGCCCACAAGACGCCGCCAAGGAGCCCCAAGAGACTCCCAAGAGGTCCCCAAGAGGCCCCCAAAAGGCCCTAAAGAGGGCTCCAGGGCCGGCGGAACGAGGGAAGCGATCAAATTATTCAAAAGCAAAAAAAAAAAACCCAATGACTATTTTTGAACATTCCTCCTGTAGAGGGCCATGCCCGAGCTAACCCTCGGAGATCCCGACCACGTGCCCTGGGGACAATCTCGCGGCCTGGGCTGTTCCCAACCATCCTGTGGTGTTGGGCCCTCGTTTTGGAGGCACAGCGCCCCGCGTTCTCCTTCCTCCTCTCCTTCTCCTCCTTCTCTTCCTCCTCCACCTCCTCCTCCTCCTCCTCCTCCCCCCCCTCCTCCCCATCCATCCTCCATCCTACTCTCAGTCGTGCTGACTCCATCTTCCATCCTGTTCGATTTCGGCACACCCCTCACACGCTTCGTGGCCCCATACGGAGCTCCTCCGAAGGCCCCAGGGGCAGGGTGTACACGCGTCCCCGCGACTTATTTGGGCACACCCCTAACACGGTTCGTGGCCCCATAGGGAGCTCCACCGAAACGCCCCAGTGACAGGGTTGACATGCGCCCCCGCGACTCATTTCGGCACACCCCTCACACGGTTCGTGGCCCCATAGGGAGCTCCACCGAAGGCCCCAGTGACAGGGTTTACATGCTTTCCCGCAACCCATTTCGGCACACCCCTCACACAGTTCGTGGCCCCATAGGGAGCTCCACCGAAGGCCCCAGTCGCAAGATCTACATGCGTTCCCGCGACTCGTTTCGGCACACCCCTCACACGGTTCGTGGCCCCATAGGGAGCTCCACCGAAACGCCCCAATGGCAGGGTTTACATGGGTCCCCGCGGTTCATTGCGGCGCACCCCTCACACGATTCGTGTCACAATAAGGAGCTCCACCCAAGGCCTCAGTAGCAAGGTTTACTTGCGCACGGGGCGTTGAACACCGCGGGCACCCTCCTCCGTCTCATCTCTCTCGCGGTTCCCCCAGCTGCATGTGAATTGGTCCTTCGTCAGGTTAATGTTTTTTGAACGCCCCTGGGCCCGGCGAGGGCCACCCCTCAGACCGAAAATGGAACGTTTTCTTACTCGGCGTTTCGGCATCGGGCGGAAGGTGGAGGTGGGCATCTGGCTCCGGACCTCTGCATCATGCGACTGCTTGGAACCGTGCGTCCTTTGGGGGGGACTCCACCTGCGTGAAACAGTTTTTTGCTTCGCGGGTCGAGAGCGCACCTCCTCCAGTCGAAGCTAAGCGGGCCGCGCGAAGCTTGAATTAACCAGATGGGGGAGGAAAAGGGGGGCGCAGCACCTGCATGAAACAGGCGCCAAACACAGCCAAGGTCTACTCCATGTGGGAGGGAGGGGCGGGGGTGCGAGGGCCCGCGCCGATCGGTAAAACAGTAAAAAAAAAAAAACGGCAACCATCCGAATTGCCTGTTTCGATACGTTGGAGGTCCGTCCGGGTCACCACCCCTGACGTTTCGGGTTGACCGACAAGGGGGTCCAGCGACAAGGGGGTGGTGCAAGATGTTTGGTGCAGTAGATGTTGTGGGGTTGCAGTGCCCTTGGGGCGTGCAATTCCTTTCGGGGCGCAAATTTATTGCTGGACTTTCGCGAGCAGTACATTACTTGCAATACAGTGCAACTCAACTCTCTGGCGCAATACCTTTGCAATACAATTGCCCAAAATTTATTGCACCACCCTCTTTCAGCTGGACCCCCTCTTGGGTCACCCAAAACGTTGACCCTGATCTCCGACGCGAGCTCGGCCTTCAGCGCGGAGAACCTGCCCGCCTCTGGGGAGACAAAAAGGTACCGACACCGCTACTCCCAGGACCTCCTATGGGGCGCGTTCTAACCAAGACTTCGGGACGAATCCAGCGGTGGCGACGAGAGAGGCCCAGGAGGCCGAAAAGGGGAAAACGGGCGAAGGGTAGAGAGGTATGGGTACTGTTTCCTCCTCCGAGCCTCCGCCCGCGCGGCCTCGCAGCCCGCCAGGGCCGCCGCCAGATCCGCGCGCAGGGCTCGGCAGCCCTCGTGCGCGCGGCGCTCCTCCGCGAGCAGCCTCGCCACGGCCTCCGCGAGCGCGCGCTGGGCGCCGAGCGTCTGCTCGAGGTCGTGCTCGGCGGCCTCGAGCCTGTCGCGGAGGTCCTCTCCGCGGAAGGACGGCGACGGGCCACCGCGCCGGCCCTGGCCGGGCCCGCCCCTGGGCCCAGGGTGGGGCTGGCCAGGATCGGCGAGGATCGGGAGGAGGACCTTTTTTGACCTTGCAATGCTGGGTCCTCTCCGATCAACGGAGACCCACCTCCCTCAATCAGTGCCCAGGCGGGCACCTCACTCCACACTTTGGAGGGAGGCCTCGCCCCAAACGGGACAGCACCTCACGGCCCGCCTTGGTGGGGCCCTCAGGTGGGCACCGCTCGGCCAGCGCTTGAACTTTGTCAACGCAATGCCGTCCGCAGAATCTGCAAAACAGCACGCCACGCAGGCAATGCAACTGATGGCTGCTGTGCACCCGAGACCAGCACGGATGGGCCATGACCGCATCGGGGCCATCGCCCAGCGCAGGAGGGCCCGTACATCGCCCAGGCCAAAATTCGGCGAGGCGGCCCACACAGGCCTTAAACTTACGTCCACACACCTGGCACCGCAACAGGCCTTTCTTAGCAGACTCGACCGAATGGCCAGCCCCAAGCAGCCGCCGCCGACGGACCACATCGGTGGGCAGCGACCTCGGACGAGGTGGCGGCCTACCAACGCGCTCGGCCTTGTTGCGGGAGGCTAACCTCCCGATTGACGTCAAGCAATCGGCACAACTTGGGAGGTTAGCAAATCGACATCTTGAATTAGCTCGACATAGCCACGACGGAGGAGGAGGAGGAGGAGGAGGAGGAGGAGGACGGGCAGGAGGAGGAGGAGGAGGAGGAGGGCACCGTTGTCAGGCGGGTCTTGCGCACGACGGCATGCTCTGCCGAGGCCACGCACACCACGTGGAGCAGAGGGCGCTTACGCGCGACGTCACGCGGAAAGCCTGCGCGCGGACGTCCGCGCCGTCGACCCCGTTTTGGCCCGTCGCTCAACTGACCACCTTGCCGGTTCTGGCCAGACCCATCACTGATGGGCCTTGGCCGGGATCGGTAAGGTGGTCACGGGGAGACATCAAGAAAGATGGAGAAAGGATAGTCCATGCAACATGGATCACAAGACCCCTCCCGCGGTTGAAGTGGTGCAATTCTTCACCCCGGAACCGCCTTTGGCGGTCCAGGGTCCTGAAAACAGCCCCCCCACACCGAAAAAGGCAACCATGATCGTCCCACGAACCCGGAAGGAATATAGAAATGTAAGACATGGCAACGTTTTCAACGACACCTCATTGGGCGACAAGCAAATAAAATGCTGAATGTATCGATCATCATGTACCGTACCGAGGGCTGTGCTGTGCTGAGCCGTGCTGAATTGCGATGTGCAATGCCGCGATTGTGCTCTATAGCGTTGTGGATCGAGTCTTCCTTTGCATCCGAAACCTGACCGAAATGACCTGCCTGAGCACAGAATAGCTGCCCCAGGGCTAAGTGAGGGGAGACATGCCAGGGCGACGCGCCGCGGAACGTCCTGGGGGACGCGCCAGACGACGTGCCAGGGGACGTGCCACGGGGACGCACCGCGGGACGTGCCAAAGGGACGCGCTACGGAACGTGTCAGTGGACGTGCCACGGGACGTGCCAGGGGACGCGCCGCGCGACGTGCCAGGGGGACTCGCCACGGGACGCGCCACGGAACGTGCCAGAGAACGTGCCAGGCTGCAATGCTGAGTGTATCGATCTGAATGTACCGTGCCAAGGCCTGTGCTGCGCTGCGCCGTGCTGAATTGCGATGTGCCATGCCGCGAAAGTGTTCTATAACGTTGTGGATCGAGTCTTCCTTTGCATCCGAAACCTGACCGAACTGATCTTGATCTCACGTAAGCTCGAGCTGCCTGAGCACATAGTAGCTATCCCAAAACTCATTGACAGGGGGACATGCCAGGGCGACGCGCCGCGGAACGTCCTGGGGGACGCGCCAGGCGACGTGCCAGGGGACGTGCCACTGGGACGCACCGCGGGACGTGCCAAAGGGACGCGCTACGGAACGTGTCAGTGGACGTGCCACGGGACGTGCCAGGGGACGCGCCGCGCGACGTGCCAGGGGGACTCGCCACGGGACGCGCCACGGAACGTGCCAGGGAAGATGCCAGGCGACGCACCAGGGAAAGTGCCAGGGAACCGGCCAGGGAACGTGCCACGGGACGTCCCTGACCCAGGGCCAAGATCCATCGTGAACTACGCTGCGTCCGCGCTCCCAGGGCCACGATTCATCACAACATACGCTGCGTCCGCGCTCCCAGGGCCACGATCCCCCGTGCATGCGCTGCGGCCGCTCTCCCTGGGCCACGATCCCTCGTAGACGACGCTGCGCCCGCGCCCCCCCGGGGCCGCGCTCCTCTGTGCCTCACGCTGCGCCCGCGCTCCCGGGGACACGTGCCCGGGTAGATGCAGTGCCCGCCCCCCCGCGCCGCCGCGCCCGCTCCTCCCCGAGGCCAAGACTCCTCGCAAACTACGCCGAGGCCGCGCTCCCGGGGCCGCGGTCCCTCGTGAATCGGTGCTGCGCCCGCGCTCCCGGGGCCACGACGTTCCCCAATGAATTACACGGTGTCCGCCCCCCCAGGGCCACGATCCCTCGCAAGTTACGCCTCGTCCGCGCTCCCAGGGCCACGATCTACGGTAAAAATCACGCTGCGTCCGCGCTCCCAGGGCCACGATCCACCGTAAATCATCATGTGTCCGCCCGCCCCCCCCCAGGGCCAGAATCCCTTAGAAATTCGCCGCGTCCCCTCTCCCAGGGCCACGTTCCTTGGTAAACTACGCTGCGCCCACGCTCCCAGGGCCGCGCTCCCGCGTGAATTACGCTGCCTCAGCGCTCCCAGGGCCACGTTCCTTAGTAAATTACGCTGTGTTCAAGCTCAGAGCCACCTGGGAATCCTGGGGCGCCCAGGCCGGTCCAGTTCTGCCATACAAGCGTTTCGCTCAAGATATCCTCGAAGCGTCTCGCTCGAGACATCCTCACGATCTGGGCACGCGAAAACAAGCATTTCACCTGAGACATCCTGTGAATCCTGTCCCCCAGGAGAGGAAAGATCTACAGAACAAAACACACATGTCGCTCGACACATCCTCAACAAATTATGCAAAACAAGCGTTTCAGTCGAGACATCCACAACAAACGAACATGCTTACTTTACCCTTTGTTGTATCGATCGCCCGCCCGTCTCGACCTTGTTATTGATCGCAGAAAACAACAAACATAATATCGTCGGCCCGTCTCAAGCCGTCCCTCGGAGTTGAAGCCTCTAAAAGAAAACCCTGGGCCGGCACCCTTGCCGGAAAAAACCTTCCCGAACCCAGCACCTCTCGAACCTCCTCCCCCCCTTCCTGCCCGCCGAAACCAATGCTGGGCCACATCGACCCCCCCGCTGGCTCTCCTTTCCCTGCCCAGGCCAGACCCGACTTCGCCGAGTCCTGGCGCTTGCGCACGGCCTCCTCCCCGCCCGCGCGCGCCCGCAGGGCGCGCAGCTGGCGGCCCTGCTCCTGGACCCGTTCCGCCTCGCGCCACACGAGCCTGGCGGTCTCCTCTGCGGTGCACAAGTCGAGTAGGGGATCGACTAAACATGTATGTATCCCAGAGGTGATTTTCTCGTCGAACCCATGAGAACTATCCTGGCGAAGGACCCAAACACATGCAGTTGTGAGTACCGTCGTTGCGGGCATCGCCTTCGGGGGATCTCCTCATGGGGCCACCATGTGGGCGCTGCCACTGGAGCTTTCTGTTGAACCCACACTGGGGCCGCAAAACGTGTGAGGGTCTTCGGCGGAGCTCCCTATGGGGTCACGAAGCACTACACTGGGTGGGGGGGACGCATGCGAACACCGCCGCTGAGGCCTTCGGTGAAGCATGGGGCAACGAAGCGCTGTACTGGGCGGGGGAGACGCATGCGACCACCGCCACTGGGGCCTTCGGTGGAGCTCCCCATGGGGCCACGACAAGCTGCACTGAGGGGGGGAGACGCATGCGAGCACCGCCGCTGAGGCCTTCGGTGGAGCTCCCCATGGGCCACGAAGCGCTGTACTGGGTGGGGGGGACGCATGCGAACACCGCCACTGAGATCTCCGGTGGAGTTCCGATGGGGCTACGAAGCGCTGTACTGAGTGGGGGAGACGCATACGAACAACGCCACTGGGGCCTGCGGTGAAGCTCCCTATAGGGCCACGAAACGTTGGTCTGGGTGGGGGAACGCATGCTGACACCGCCGCTGGGGCCTTCGCTGGAGCATCCCATGGGGCAACGAAACGCTGTACTGAAAGAGAAATACGCATGCGAACACAGCCACTGGGCCCTTCGGTTGAGTTCCCTCTGGGAAAACGGAGCGCTGTACTGAGCGGGGGGGACGCATGCGAACCCTGCAACTGGGGCCTTCGGTGGAGCTCCCTATGGGGCTACGAACCGCTGCACTGGGCGGCGGAGACGCATGCGAACAACGGCGCTGTGGCCTTCGGTGGAGCTCCCTATGGGGCCGCGAAACGCTGTACAGGGTCGGGGAACACACCTGCGAACACCGCCGCTGAGGCGTTCGGTGGAGCTCTCTATTGCGCCTCAACACGCTGTACTGAGTTGGGAAAACACGTGCGAACAACGCCACTGAGGCCCTCGGTGGAGCTCCCTATGGGGGATGATGATGCTGATGATGATGATGATGATGATGATGATGATGGTGATGATGATGATGATGATGATGATGATGATGATGATGATGATGATGATGATGATGCGAATGACGATTATGATGATGCTAATGACGATGATGATGATGATGATGATGATGGTTATGAAGATGATGATGATGATGATGATGATGATGATGATGATGATGATGATGATGATGATGATGATGATAATGATGATGATGATGATGATGATGATGATGATGATGATGAGAATGATGATGATGACGACGATGATATGATGATGACGATGATGAGGGTGATGATGGTGCTGCTGGTGGTGGTGCTGCTGCTTCTGATGATGATGAGGAAGAGAATAAGGATAAGAGGATGAGGATGCGGATGAGGACCTGTGTAAACTGAATAGGCATCAACGATGTTGAAATATCCCTCCAAGCTCCCTCTTTGTAGGCCCTTACAACGGTTCATTTCAAGTGACGGAACTGCCTCGGTGGAAGACAAGCGCTTGAAGACCCTGAAGCATGCCAAAACATTGTCGTCGGGATTCCTACGCCACGGATCAACCTGACCGTTGCGTCTTGACGATCCTGGATCGTCCCAGAACGCAATTCCTGGGACGTCAACACCGCGAACTGACGCAACTGTTGCACCCTCATAATCCTGAATCCTCCTGAGACATCATTTCTGGTACGTTGATCATGGGAATCCGTGAAACTCTTGCAAATGTTCAAAACGAATGTGCGCGGCGCTAAAGCGAAAACCACATGTTGAAAAAGAACCGCCTTCAATCTGTGAAGCTCTTCCAAATTATTGAAAAACGAATGTGCGCGGCGGTGAGGCGAGAGCCACATTTTGAAATCACCCGCCCTCAATGCGCGAAACTCTTACCATTGTGTAAAACGAATTACAGCAAAGAAAAACCCAATCAGTGAATGACTTGCAAATTTGTAATCTGGATATTGAGATCGATTGGGAGATCGATAGTGAGATCGATCGTGGAATCAATAGTGAGGACGTTTGTAAGGTCGATCGTGAGACTTAGAATGAAGTCGATTCAATGAAATCGATAATGAGATCAATCGCGAGATCGCTCATGCCATCTATAGTGAGATCGATAGTGAGATCGATTGTGAGATCGGTGGTGAGATGGATAGAGAGGTGGGTAATGAGATCAATGGTGAGACCGATCGATAAGAAAATCGACCAGGTGACCAGAAACCCGGAAACCCGGGAACCCCGCCACCCACAGAAATCGGCCCGGAACCCGGAACCGGCAACCCGGGAACCCGGGACCGGGAACCTGGGAACACGACCGCCCACCGAAATCGGCTATAAAACGTTCGCCGAATCCTTCCATCTCCGCTAGGACCCCTTCAGTGCAAGCACCGATGGGGGAATGTGCGCGGCGCGAAGGCGAGAGCCACATGTTGAAAAGGAGCCGCCCTTAAATTTGTGAAGCTCTCGCATACGTTTCAAACGACTGTGCGCGGCGGCAGGGCGAGAGCCATAGTTTGAAAACCACCCGCCCTCCATCTGTGAAACTGTTGTCGACGTTTGAGTTTCAGGGTCCCAGTGGTGAGGACGTCTCAGCCGGAACGCCCGACCCGCCCTAGAAACTAGCCTCGGGGTGCGACAGGGAGAAGCTCTTCAGATGTAAAGAGAATCGGGGCCCACCAGAGGGGGGGGAACCAACAGGGGGGGGGGGTTCGATCCGCTGGCGCATCGAATTTCGGAAAAAACAATGCCCCCCGCGCCCCCCGATTGTCGACGCCTCTCGGGTTCCGGCGGCGGCCGGAGACATCGTTGTGCATAGTTTTTCTGCGGTTCGATGCGCCAAGGGACCGAACTCAACCCCCCCTTTGGCACACCCCCCTTTGCGAGGTCCCACAAGAATAGAGGATGAAGATGGGAATGAGGATGAGGATGATAATTATGATGATGCTGATGATGATGCTGCTGCTGCTGATGATGATGATCATGATGATGATTATGCTGATGATGATGATGATGATGATGATGATGATGATGATGATGATGATGATGATGATGATGATGATGATGATGGGTGGTGGTGATGATGATGATGGTGGGTGGTGGTGGTGGTGGTGGTGGTGGTGATGATGATGATGATGATGATGATGATGATGATGATGATGATGATGATGATGATGATGATGATGATGATGATGATGATGATGATGATGATGATGATGATGATGATGATGATGATGATGATGATGATGAGGGAAGGGTAGGGAGGGGGAGGAGGAGAGGAGGAGGAGGAGGAGGAGGAGGAGGACGCGGGGCGCTCTCTTCCAAACGAGCACCCAACACCACAGGATGATTAGGAAAAGTGCGTAGAACAGACAGAAAATCTGCGGAGCACTGTCGGCATGCTCTGTTGACTCGAGGGGGAATCCCTCTTGGGGTGAACCGGGGTGAATCGATGCAGTCGACCCCCCACTCGAACAGGGACAGACTGGTGCTGTGTGCCTCTGCAGGGGGAGGGGGGCCCACGTCCGACCCGAACATCTATGATGGCACTGCGAGGCGGGGCTTCTATCCATATCCGCCGCCTGGGGACCGACGCCCTGCATGCCCCGGCGGGCGGCGGATGTGGACATGGGTTTGCCCCCGGGAGGTCCGCGGAGATCGATCCCCCAAGGCGGTGGTTATTCGGACCGGGCGACAGGGGGGGATAGGCAAGGGGGGGGGGGTGCGAATCACCTCACGTGGCTGATTCTCCCGGCGCCTCCCGGCGCCGGGAGGCGAGCGTGTATATCGAGGAATGGGCCCGGCGGCGGGGCCGAAACCAGCTCCACGCAGCAGATGTCGTAGCCCCCCCTTTCCCTATCCCCCCCTTCTTGCCGTCGCACGGACGTCCATTTCCCGTGCACTTTTCAGTTCCGTGCGTGTTATTTTTTGCTCGATGGTCCAGGATGGTCCTCAAGGGTCCCCGCCGAGAAAAAAATACACACGTCCGAGCGATGTCAGGCCTTCCGTCCGGCCCGCGTCATGGACACGCTCCCGCCCAGGAGGCGCAGCGCCCTGCAGCGCACCCTCGCTGCCCGAGAGGCAGCGAGCGTGGCCCGACAGGGCGCCCGCCACGGAGCGCCGCCGCCGCGAGACCTCCTCCGCAGAGCGCGCGCGTCGCCCGCGCGCGCGGCCGCCGCACACACAGGGAGGGGAAAGCGGCCCAGGGCAGAAGCACGTCCCTCAAGTCGGGAGCGGCCAAGAGGGGGGTGTCCAAGAGGGGAGGGGGTGCAAATGATGACCGTCGGCACGTGCGCGGCCCAGAGGGGGGGGCCAGGGACGTAATGAAATAGGAAAAGGCGCCACGAAACCTGGGGAACTATCATGGCCCCCCGCCATAATATCCACCCCCCCCTAGTCATCACCCCCCTCTTTGCCCCCCCGATCAAGAGTCGGGGCTCTTCTGACCCGGGTAAATCCAGACCCAGGTCAGCAGGAAACCAAGGAACTGCCGTGCAGGAACATAAAACTGAAACGAAGGTCTTCTCCAGCCCGGGTCGGCCAACATGCGCGGCCGCCTCGCGGCCACGAGCGGCTCGCTGACCCGGGTCGGCCAGAGGGGGTCTTCGCAGGATCCTGCAGGATTCGGTGCCCTGGCTGACCCCCGTTTGCATTGACCCCCGTCTCGTGAGCCCCGAAAGAGCACGAGGCCCTCCGCTGGCCAGAACACGCAGAACGTCCAGGGGTAGCCCTCCCCAGGATGAACGAGAACATCCAGCAGACACGCAGAACACTAAGCAACCCTCTCCGAGCCGACCTCGATCCTTAGAAGAAACAAACTGCAAAAACATTCAACTCTTGGCGCTCCGCGCGGATTTCTTGGACTGGCGCGCGGAGCGCGCCAGGGGCGGCGCCGGAGGCGCCGCCCAGGGGGACCCAGCGTGTATCCAAGAAATCCGCGCGGAGCGCTGAAAATTTGAAAATCGGCATATGGCATCAGCATACCTGGTTGATGGTGGTCCTCCTCGGCGGCGATCGCGAGCCGGAGCGCGGCGGCGTCGCGCTCGCAGCGGAAGGCCATGTCCTCGTCGTCGTCGGTGACGAAGCCGTCCTGGTCTCCGCTCGCTGCGCGGGCCGCCTGCGCCGCGTCGCTGCCGCGCCCGAAGGCCATGTCCTCGAAGTCGTCGTCGGTGGCGAAGCCCTCCTCCTCCTCGAGGGCGAGTGATAACAGGGGAGTGACCTTAATCGGGGGTGCAGAAAGGATCCCTTTGGGGCACCTTTCTCTTCACCCACCATTGAGGTCACCCCCCATTACCACCTGCCCAAGCCTCGAAGGCCGCGTCGGGGGAGACGCCGCGGGTGCAGCCGGGGTCGGAGCTGGGGCGGCATCCGCTGTCGCTGGAGCAGTCGCTCTCGAGATCCCCGCCCGACGAGTCCAGGTGCAGGAAGGTGTTCCTAGAAGACGGGACACGACGTGCACAGAAGACTTCCGAAGGCCAGCGCAGATCTCTTGGATCGGCGCCGAGCCATCCTCCCTGGCGCGCGGAGCGCGCCAGTTGAGGCGCTGGAGCCGCCGCCAGGGGAATCCCGCGCAGGTCCAAAAAATCCGAATGGACCTTCAACAGCTTCTGTTTTTTGTATGTTTTGATATTATGTTTTATTGGTTTGTTTGTCTTTTTTTGTGCGGTCAACAGCTTCTGTTCTCTGCGGTCTTGTTCCTCCTCGATCCGGGGACCCGCCAAAAGGGACCGGCTCTCAGGGGGGTGGGCACCCCGGTAACATCCGTGATACCTCGCCGCCAGAGCGGCGGTAAGCTTAAGTCGGGCCTGTCCCCCTACAGGGGGATTTTCGACGAAAAATGAACAATACTCCAAAAATATGTGTTTCAAAAGTACAAAAATAGTCTGGGGACTATTTTTTCCCTAAATAGGCTCTGCCTAGAAGGGTTCTTACTCTGAGGCTTAAAGGGCTGGGCAGTGGAATGCGCCCCGGGATCCGCCCCGCGGTTCCCCCAGTGACGTTCCCTTAGCTTCGCGTTGCTTAATTAATCTTAGCTTAGCTTATTTCAACTTACCTTAGCTTAGCTTCATCTTACCTCAGCTTATCTTAGCTTAGCTTACCTTCATCTTAGCTTCGCTGAGCTTTAGCATAGCAGATCACAGCATAGCATAGCATAGCGTAGCATAGCATAGCGCATCACAGCATATCATAGCATAGCCCAGCATAACATAGCATAGCATAGCGCAGCACAGCACAGCACAGCATAGCGCAGCACAGCACAGCACAGCGCACCACAGCTTATCATAGCAAAACATAGCACAGCTTAGTATAGCACAGCGCAGCATGACATAGCATAGCATAGCATAGCTTAGCATAACATGGCACAGCATTGCATAGCATAGCGCAGCATAGCATAGCATAGCATAGTATAACATAGCGCAGCATAGCATGGTATAGCATAGCATAGCATAGCATAGCAACTAATGCTGCTTTCCTAGGGGCTCCAACTTCTAGGTAGGGTCGCACTGGGATAATGTATAATGTGTTGGCCTTTTGGGGGTATTGTTGGGGTATTTCTAATTGTTCGTCGAAAATCCCCCTGTGGGGGGACAGGCCCGACATAACGGTAAGCCCCAACTGCAAAACCGCGCGCTCCTGGGCGGGGGGGGGCTAGCGGGCCCATGATGGCGCCGAGTGAGCGATTCGGGCTCAGTGCATCCCCCTCTGGGCCATCTTTCGGCAGCAACGCATGGAAGCCTCCCGTGCCATCCTGCTGGCTCATGCGACTCGACGCGGACCGCAAATCGACGCTAAATCGACGCCGCTGATCGAGATTAAATCTGCGCTTTCTCATCGATTACCGAACGCTAGCGCACGCTAAAGCACTCTAAACATTGACCTCAAAGGAGATACAACGCCTCCAAGATTTGCGACCGAACCCCTATCGTTAGAAAGCCCCGGGTTCGCCAGGTATTGTTCCCCCCCAAAATAAAAACCTTTGAGACCCTCGTGGAACCCTGCGAAGAGCCTCCAGGAACCCTTCGAGGAAAGTGTTCGGAGGGCTTCGGGAAGGTTTCGGTCGTGTTTGGAGGCAAACCAAGGTCCATAGCGAACCCTGGACTTTCTAAGCTTATCCTGCCCCCTCCCCCCCCGAACGTTGCCCCTGAGCTCCGAACGCGCAGCGCGGAGAAGGAGCCCGTGGAGCCCGTCCCAGCGCTCTTCGCCGAGGGCGTGGACGCGCGGGCGGGAAGCAGCGGCAAGCGGCAGGCGGCGACCACGGACATGTCGCTGGTGATGTCGCGCGCCCGGGTGGACCTCCCCCGAAGTGACGTGTCGTCTAAGATCGAAGATCGGAGCAAACAGCCTGAGCCGAAATGGCTCTGTCAGGAGGCACCTCCTGGGAGGCATTCGCAAGAATGATTAAGGCGATTAAGCACGATTGAGAAACCATTGAGCCGGACTAGCCCAGATAGAGCCTTGGACTAAGCTCAGATTATAGCCGGACTGCAGTATTCCAAAACAGGTTTTTAAACCCAGTGCGGTTTCCAGGGTCGATTGCGTGCCCGTCCAGTGCGAGCTGGCATGACATGTTAGAACATGATAACATTATGTTTGCACATGAAATGTTTAATACACGAAAACTTGTGTGACGCATGCCTATCAGGAAGCTAACGCCTGAGGGTGTCGTACTCTCTCGCACCTGGTCGACGAGCTTTCGCAACGGGCCAGAACATCTCGCGCGCAACATCTTCGAGCTTCGCGCTGTGAGGATGGCTCAAGCGAAACGGGCCGGACCACCTCGCAAGGAGCATCTTGGAGCTCAGTATTGCAAGAATGTCTCAGACGAAACGGGCCGGACAACCTCTCGCACACGTTCTCACAAGTCCACGTCACACTCGCTTCCCGTCAGGTCCTCTCCTGGAACTCCTGTCCTTCTCCCTCCTCCTCCTCATCCTCCTCCTCCTCCTCCTCCTCCTCCTCCTCCCCCTCCTCCCCCTCCTCCTGCCTGCTCCCTCATCCACATCATCCTCCTCCTTCTCCCTTCCATCTCCTCCTCCTCCTTCTCCTCCTCCTCCTCCTCCTCCACCTGCTCTTCATTCCGAACGGCATCTCGGAGCCCAGAGTTGCGAGGATGTCTCCAGCGTAACGGGCTGGACCACCTCGCGCGCGGCATCTCGGACCCCCCAGTTCCGACGATGTCTCGGGCGAAACGTGCTGCGAGGAAGTCTCAGGCGAAACGGGCCGGACCACCTCGAGCGCGGCGTCTCAGAGCTCCGAGTTGCGGGGGCCTCCTGGGCCTCCCGGGGCCTCCTGGGGAACTCCTGGGGCTTCCTGCTGGGCCTCCTGTGGCCTCCTGGACCCCACCTGGGGCTTCCTGAAGCCTCTTGGGGCTCCCAGGGGGGGATATCTAACATGTGGCCGTCTGGGCCCCCCAAAATGGGGGGGGGCCACAAGAGCAGGAAAAATCAAAGAATCGGCACCATATGTATATTAACTTGACACGTTCAGATAGGGGGCCTCATGGGAGCTTCCTGGGAATCTCCTGGGGATCCCTGGGGACTGTCCTGGGCGTCCTGCGGCCACCTGGAGCTCTCTGGGGCCTCCTGGGGCTCCCAGGGTCCCAGGGGGGATATGTAACATGTGGTCTTCTGGGCCCTCAGGCTGGACCACCTTTTGCGCGGCATCTGGGAGCTCAGTTTTTGGAGGATGTCTTCTGCGAAACAGGCCGGACCACCTTGCGCACGGCATCTCAGAGCTCAGAGTTGCGAGGATGTCTCAGGCGAGACGGGCCGGACCACCTCGCGCAGGGCATCTCAGAGCTCAGAGTTACGAGGATGTCTCAGGCGAAACGGGCTAGACCACGTCGCGCGCGGCATCTCCGAGGTCAGAGTTGCGAGGATGTCTCAGGCGAAATGGGCTGGACCACCTCTTGCGCGGCAGCTCAGAGCTCAGAGTTTGGAGGATGTCTCAGGCGAAATGGGCCAGACCTCCTCGCGCGCGGCATCTCGGGGCTCAGAGTTTCGAGGACATGTCAGACGAAACGGGCTGGCTGGACCACCTCTCGCGCGGCAGCTCAGAATGCAAAAGTGCGAGGATGTTTCAAGGGAAACGGGCCGAAACGGGCCGGGCCACCTCTCGCGCGGCATCAGAGAGCGCAGAGTTGCGAGGATGTCTCAGGCAAAACGGGCCGGACCACCTCGCGCACGGCATATCAGTGCTCAGAGTTACGAGGATGTCTCTAGCGAAACGGGCCAGACCACCTCTTGCGCGGCATCTCGGAGCCCAGAGTTTCGAGGATGTCTCAGGCGAAATGGGCTGGACCACCTCTTGCAAGGCATCTCAGAACTCAGAGATGCGACGATGTCTCAGGTGAAGCGCGGCGGACCACCTGGCGCCCAGCATCTCAGAGCTCAGAGTTGCGAGGATGTCTCAGGCGATACGGGCCAGACCACCTCTCGCGCGGCATCTGGGAACTCAGAGTTACGAGGATGTCTCAGGCGAAACGGGCCAGACCATCTCTCGCGCGGCATCTGGGAGCTCAGAGTTTGGAAGTTGTCTCAGGCGAAATGGGCTGGACCACCTCTTGCGCGGCATCTGGGAACTCAGAATTTGGAGGTTGTCTCACGCGAAACGCCCAATCCCGGACAACTCAGAGACGAGAGTTGCGAGGATGTCTCAGGCGAAACGGCCCGGACCACCAAATTTTTGTGAGGACGTCTCTGCTTTGAATTCCCCTGGCCAGAGTTAGCTTCTATCACAACAGCACCCCGTTCAGCAAGCTGTTTGGGGAATAAACTGGATATGCCGGGATTGATGAAGAGGAACTGCGCTGGATTAGGCTGGCTTTGGCCACGGATATAGTACCAGCGCCGATGCTGAACTCAACATCCCAAAAGTTGCGTGCTAATACGCTATGGGCGCCGTCAACTCATGTTCCGCCGTCTGTCCGAAATCCTAGGACACGCACAGCCTGGGCTGGACTGAGCCTGAAACTTTTGGGATGGCGGGCCGTCCATCGAGAAAGCCCACCACCACTTGAAATTGAAGTATCCTCCTCCTGCTCCTCCTCATCCTCCTCCTCTTCCTGCTCCTCCTCCTCCTCCTCCTCGTCCCCCCAGCCTCCCCCTACGCACCTGCCATGTCGTGCGACGTCCCCGAGGTTGGCTTCCAGACTCGAGCCATCTGACGTCGCGCTTTGCCGCGGAAGCGCGAGGCGAGATGGTATTCGCTCTCTCTCTCTCTCTCGCCAGGCGCGCCCCCAATCGTAGGAAAAGATCACAAGGGAGTGGTCGAGCAAGGGGAGGCGCAAGGAAGGAGGGAAGTTGTGTCAGAGCATAGCTAACACTGGGCAAAGATGCCCGAGCGTGTCACAGTTCAGCTTAGGCTGGGCAATCTGACCTGATCATGTCATTTATCAACTCAAGCTCGGATCCCCCAACGACCTCACCGCACCTTCCGTTACCACACAGTTCTGGGACCTCTGATGCCCGTGTCGCCAGAGACGTCCTCGGAGAACGACACACAAGTCCCAAAACCGTGCGGTCACCCCGAATCGCCACTGACTCACCACACGGTGTGGCCGCCGCACCGTTGGGCCCCCCCCGAATCCAGACCTTCCAGGACAGACGGGGCCCCTGAGAGCCGCCACGCAACGCCTGGGCCTAGCTCCCCTTGTCCCACCCCCTCCCCCCACCCCCCAGACGGATCGCACCCCATACTGGCAGCCCACCCTTCCCCCAGTCCCGGCGGGCAGCGCCCCGGTGGGCAGCGCCCCGGCGGGCAGCCCTGGGCGACGGAGCCAGCTGGTGCCGGCGGGCAGCTCGGCGTCGCAGGCCGCGCCTGGCTCGGAGGCTCGAAGGAGGAGGAGGAGGAGGAAGGAGAAGAGGCTACCCTTCCCTCCCTCGTTCCCTCCTCCTTGTCCTCCTCCCTCCCTCGTTCCCTCCTCTTTGTCCTCCTCCCTGCTCCCCACCCCTCCCACCTCCCTCCCTAGCGTCCTTACAATGGGGGCCCATGCCAAGAAACACCCTGCTTGCCTCCAGGGTGCCCTGGGTGTCGTGGGTTGCGATGGTTTTGCTATGGAAAGCGTGGCGTTGCCACATCAAAAAAATCGATGGCCATCCTGGGGTCTCAGGGTTGGGCTTCTTGTGGACGGGTTCTTGCGCTCAGGCCCCCACTGTAAGTCTCGCTGCACCGACCTTGCAGACGTGCTGCAGCGGATTCTTGAATGGATTTCTGCCAGTGCAAGACCCCGAAACGGCGAGCGGAAAGGAAAGTTAATGCCACGTAGATTCGTTGTTAGTCTTCATTCCTGGCCAAAAAAATCTGCACGAGATTCACTGCGAAATCCGGAACGAAAACATCCAGGACACTCCGGGCCCATCCTACTGTCTTCGGAACGAAGTCCGCTCTGCGATGTTGGCGCCATGAGACATCGATCAGGGCTCGAGCTAAACAGTGATTTTCGTTTTCGTTGTGGCTTAATCTTCCCTCGCCATGTCGTCTTTCCACCTTCGCTGCAAAGCGAAGCCCAAACGAGAAACCGGTCGACGGAATAGCCCAAACACCGTCGAGCTCGAGCCTCGGCATCGCTCGGAGATCCCTGCCCCGAGCCTGCTTCGGCCTCGTGCGCGGTGGTGTTCGCCAGATGGTCCCAAATGCCCCTGCATTGAGGTCGGGCGTTTCCTCCTACGGGCAGAAACATATTTGTATATATATATATACACATGTATATATATAAATAGATGTATAGAAGTGTCCCATAGTATTTACATTAATTATGTACAGAAGTAGTATAAATCCTTCCCATACTATTTTTTGACTATGGCTTGATATTTCTCCTGCTGAGGGGCATGCCCGACTCAACCCTATAGGATGGCCCAGGCCTGCCGGCGCCGGCCTCGCCGAGGGGAAGGCGCACGCCCGAGCGGTGTTGCGGAGAGTGCTGCGCAGGGACCGCCCGCCCTGGCAGTTCTGTAGGCCTACCACGACATGTTGTTAGAACCCGTGAATCGGGGATGGACAGACCCCCTTTAGTAAAACGTTTTTTAGTGAAAACGACCTGAGGCCCAAACCTGGCGGGCGCAAGCCTGGAAAATAACGGCCACGGCGCCCTCTCGATAACCGAAAACGGACAATTCACTAATCGACGTGTCACTGTTGGGGGTTCTGTCCACCCCCGAATGTTCTTAGAACCCGAGAATGTTCTACGAGCCCAAACAGTGTTCTTAGAACATGGACCCGATGTGCTAAAACAAGACGGCCACGGCCGCAAAATGCTCTCTACGAACATCTCGCGCAGACCACAAAAGGTTCTCAGAACATTCTTTGGTGGGCCTATAGGCACGCCAGGACGCTTCGCCACTGCTTGATGAGTGGGGGGTGGGCCGCGCCGGGCCGCACCAAGCTCGGCGCCGGAGACGAATCGACGCGGCGGCGCAAGGCTGCAGAGCAGCGCC